TTATTCATTGGGGATGTATAAAAAAGTTTAATGAGTGATTGAGGAAACTTCTAATGACTAATAAATTCCAGCTTAATTCCTAAAATAAATGTGTTGGGGATAGTGCCTGGCTTCAGCAAGTGCTCGATACTTTCTTCTTTCACTCCTTGTTTATTTTTATAAATAGCATAGTAGCATGGGGGGTGTTCCTAATCAGTATGCATTTCATAAGGGTGAGGGATGTGGAGCCGCTACCACATGTTCACGTCTTTCATCTCTATGGCCAAAGGATGGGTCATGTGTTTTTTTTTGTGGATTGATCTCTCTCTTCTTTAAAATGATCTGCACCTCAGAAACGTTACAGCCTAGAGTTGGTGGTTCATGTCTCTGAGAAGCCAAAAATCTATCCATCAAAATCTGTGGCAACTGATCAAATTGTGGCATTTCTGTAGAATAAGACAGTAAATTCTGATCTGTAACCTACACTGTACATTATTTCATGGCAGTTCTGGGACCCAAGGACGCACTGTGTTGACCACTATCTATAAATCCAGAATGTCTGTCCAGCTGTCTGTCTTTTTCATTTCTTGACAATCGCTCATCTGCGATTTCAGTGTGGCAGGAACAGAAACAGCCACTCTAGCAAAGAAAACTTTTTGTTAAGGCTGGATGACCACACAGTCATGGATCGGTGCATTATTTTGTCTTTTTTAAATTAAAATAAGAAGCATACATTAAACACCACAGAGGTTCTGCTCCTGCAGTGTGGAAAGAGAACAAGCCAAACAAAGGCTCTGTGGGCTCAGCCTGCAAACCAGCCGGCACTTGTCAATCAGCTGATGAAGACAGGATGTAACATCTTAAAATGGAAGAAAATAGCATCCAGCTGGAAGTTATTTGATTTGTGCTCAGATGTAGTGTTCACGTTTCTAATGCTAATTTGAATTTACATTTTGAAGGACACCAATGAAAGACGATGCTCTGCGATAGGATAAGTAATATGCTGATTATATCGTGCTCATCAACTGATACGTTCCCCATCCTTCATTGAGTGTGGGCCTTCTCATGATGCAGCTTTGAGCTGCAGCCAATATCCACCGCTACTGTGTATTATGCAGTTGAAGTGGCTTAGAGAGTTATTAGGCTGAAGCATGCTTTGAATTATTTTAATTTAGCCCAGATACAGGGGCAAACTGAGGCCCAGAGCCAAAATGGCCTAGAATGGAAACTACAAACTCATTCTTCAGTCAGGAGCCCTATGGGCCAAAGGAAGCGTTGGATAAGAAGTACAGTTAGAGATTAGTGTTGATCAAAGTGGAGATTAAATAGGATGGCAAACATTTTGATGCACCTAATTATCGAGCCCGTGAAATTTGATGAATTGCCTTGAATCTCCGAAACATCATCGCTGAGGTGTATGTGGAATTCGTCCCATGGAGTCGGCGTGCCAGACTAATTCTGCGTTTAAATTTTTGAAAGTACAGTGGGAACGGAGAGAGGCCAAAAAGGGATAGCAAATATTAGACAGAGAAAGACAAGCTTCCTATGCAACACATCCTGAGGTGGCACTAAGACTGATGGAGCAGAATGGAAACTGGTGACATACTCGGAGGCCCACGGATTCGCTCCTCCGTCTTCCCTCACCTTAACTACATTATTTCATTGTCTCCTAGCCCTGCAGGATATCAGTAGTGATGTCTCATACCCTACAAAACAACATCATGAATAATGAATGCCAGATCTCAGAATAAATAACACACATTATTAATGTCTTCAGAGCCTCCTTTAAAAGAAGCTGCTGTAGATGCCACACGACCCCTTTTCACTCAGACTCTGAACAGGTACATTTGTGAAGAACGTCAGAGTATTACAATGTCTTAGTTTTTAAATCACAATAACTCAACTCTAAAAATGTCAAATCCAACAGATGAAACACAGATTTCAAACTGTATATAAACCATGTAACATCACTATATTAAAATGTTGATTACATACTGCTTATGTTCCAAACTGCTTATATTTGGGTGCTAAAGCCAAGCTACAGGTAAATATCACCTTTATCTCTCAGCTGAAACTTAGTTATGTGATATAATAACAGTTGTGACATCTTTGAGTCCGAATCAGACATGATAAAGACTGTGGATTTTATTTTGGTACTAAATTTGTTTAGTAACTTGGTTTTTACATTGAAACTGAAAAGGAAAAACATGTTTTGATTCAATATTTAATTTTAATATCAAGTTTTTTTTTAAATAAAATAATAATAGAGGAGACATTTTAACTTTGGAGCTAAATGTGGTAAAATGCTGCAGTTAATTTCAGCTTGTGCCACAGTACAAATGACGCCCGACATCGTGGTGTACCCAACATGATTAGGACATTATCTAATTGTATCCCAACACATGTATAATTCAAGCTCTGCCAACATAATATTCAAAGAGAAAGTAAGAGATCTCTGTGCCTTGAGCCATCACTGCCTTTTCTCCTCTCCTCTGTCAAAGAATCAGCTTTTCTGGGAAGTCTCCATAAAGTGATTATAGAGATTAAAAGCATTGAGTAATAAAAGGTGTACATACATCATTTTAAAGCCTATATCACCGCATATGTAATTCACTTTGTTAATGTCAAGCAACCTTTACTTTTATGAGGATGCTGAAAGCATAACCAATAATCTATACTGGAGCATTCCCAGAAGGTTTCTTACATTTCCTCGCCACTCCAGGAATAACTGGCCCCTTGAGTCGAGTATGTATTCTGCCCTTTCAGGGGACAAGGTCACATTGTTTACAAAGGCAGCACAACATCTCTTGAACATTCTCCAAGGGCACAATAATCTATACTGCAATATTTCAGTAAAATCCAGATGTGAGGTCACATCAGTAAGACAAAATCTCATGCCTCGCGTTTCCTGAAAAGACGTTGAACAATGTATTTTACAATGAACGCTCTAATGTAGCCATGCAGTGCTGGAACATTATCGATTCCAGCAGCAATATCTCATCGTGTTTCAACCAGCTGAGACTCTGTGGTCTCAAAAGCTACATAAATCTAGATAAAGGGCTCAAGCGATGGTTCCAACGCAGCAAATAAGACCTTAAGTAGTAAGGAGTGGTCACCAGAGATCCACAGACTCCCAGGTGATCGAGGAGTAGACGCAATAAATCAATACTCTTAGACAAGGTTTTCATACAGTGGCATGAGGCAGATTATGGTGCACAGCACTCGCAAAAGACCTCAGCGATTACGTGTCGATGACATGGATACAGTGTGGAATTGAAAGGTTTAACACAAACACTACCTCACCATCAAGAGAAGCAAAGCGGGTTAATAGATTCAATTCACTCGCTTGGCCAGATCTGAGAAAAATGTGAGGTGAGAAGAATGGAGTAAAAAAAGGAGGATTTTATTTCATGATACCTCCGTGGACTGGAAAGCAAGAGGGCGGTGCTCTTTACTACCATATGCCAGACACACAGACAGGCAGGTCGACAGTTATGAAGACAGATGAATGATGCAACGCCTTCAGCACTGAGGGGAAATGAGATCAGGTGTTGACAGCTGGATGGACAGATCCCTAGACTGGCATTCAAATGTTTTCTCACATCTACTATCACATGGACTGTGAATGCAGATCACCCCCCACCCCTCCAACCCCCAGTAGAGACAAGCTCTCATCTGCAAATCCATCCTTTTTTAAAATATTATATGAGTTTAGCATAAAAAATGTGCGGTGCAGCACGTTACCTGAGATACACGCTTAACAAGAGATTGTCTTTCTGAAGATGTGTCACAGCTGCCATGCTTCAAGTCTGTGGTTCATATTTCATAACACAGAGCCAGTGTTTATGAAGAGATGAACCCTGATAGAGACTGTTTCTGCAATGTCTAGCTCCTCATATCATACTTCGTATTCATTCCACTCACAATTGTGAACTAATCATGGACTGTGTCTGTAAGCCGGTGTCTCTGTATTACACACGCACACACACACACACACACTCACACACACAGACGTATATAAGCAATGCGACATTCGGCCTGAGGCCACTCTATCACACCACCATAGAGGAAACGGACGTGGGGAGTCGGTAGGTGGCAGTGGTGTCCCATTTGCAGGAGACACATGGGAAGACGCTCTCACTGTCTCCCCTGTCCATGTGTACCACCCCCCCCCATGCCTCTCACGCACACGCACACGCACACACACGCGCTCAAGCGAAAGAGTGCGCGCCTAATTTGCATTTGCTTCCCCTTTTTAAAACCTGACCAATGGATTAGAAGGATGGAGGCAAAGAATCAATTAATTTATACCCGTCTTCAGGGTGGGCTCCCTGCAGCGGAGGTGAAGAAATTTTAGGAGCCCCAGAAGAGTTGAAACAGAAATACAAGGAGGCTTCTGAGAGGAGGAAGGGAAACAATCCTTCCTGCCCTCGCTGATTCAGTCCTGCAGCTGAGGACAGCGCCAATCCACCAGCAGAGAGTGGCGAAACAGTCTCACTTGGAGAGCACAGCTTGTCAGTGGGAGGGGACCTACACGATGCCCCACTCGCACACTTATCAATCCAGTGTCCGTCCCTGCTGTGCCGTGCGTTTTATTTGGGTACGTAAACGCTGAGTGCACTGAGGCACTGTAAAGCGCACTGATGGATGCAGCCTGTCTGCGTGCGCGCATTGGAACGGAGTGATTTGTGATCAAATTTGAAGCAGCTTTACGCACAGGGAAGATAAGAAGATCGGGCTCAGACGATTTGTGGATAATAAGCCCTTAAGAAATTTCTTACCCCAGTGTTGTGTCACACCGGTGGATAAGCGAGGCTTGAATCGCCGAGGTGCATGAATAGATGTCAGGGCGCACAAGTGACGACTGCTCTGTAGCCCCAGTCCAGATAGGGTTAAATCAAGGCTCGACGTGGAAACCATGCAAGAATTGAGCGTTTGCTGAAGACTCATCACGATTAAAGCCGCTGCCTGAATATACGACGGTGCTTTCAAGGCTTCTTGAGGATACCTGCAGGGTTTTCTACCCCTCGTTCCACGTTGCATCCCAGATGGACACATTCTCCCACTCGAAAATTGAGAATGGAGCAGCTTGAAGAGAGAGATCATCTTTAATCTGGGCAACTTTACCAATTCCCCGACGTAAAGGATACCTACTCAGTCACCAAGCTTGCGGGACCTTTGTCGTCGCTATAACCAGGAGGGAAAAGAGAAACACGCATCTTGAATTGCGCACTGGGTTGTGAGGTGAAACCTAATCAGATCCAGCAGGCTCGATGACTAAGAAGTAACGGGGACTTTCAAGAAAAAAGTTGCATTTGGAAACATTTGAATAACCTCACCTCTGCTCTACAGTCCAGTGAAGGGCTTTTCAGAATGTCTGTGCCAGGAAATTGAGCACACGCCGCTCTCTTTGCACGTTGTGGAGAGACTACTTTTTTAAAACATTTGATTTATACCGGAGAGAAAAAGAAAACAGTGGTCCAGCTCATCATTTACAGAAAACCCGGAACCACAGTTGTGAATCCATCCCTCCCGATTGTGAGAGTTTCAACACTGGCACTTGTGGGTGCCTGCGTGTTCTGTGCGTCCTAAGGGGGGGAAAGGGAAGGAGATATCGGATGCTTATTATCACCACAGTGAGAGTTAATCGCATGACATCCGGACTGATGTGTGGATTACATACAACGTCGCTTTGAGAGAGGGGGGCGCGATGCCTCTGACAAGAAAGTGTCACCGAGGATTCTGCACAATCGCCTGAGAATTGCGGATGTTTTGTCGATGCAGTTTTTTGGGGAGGGAGCAGAAGAGGGACCACTCCTGCAGACTTCGGCGTCTCCGTGAACAAGTAAGTTAGTGTTTGTGGCTTAAAAGAATATGTGACGGTTTCACTAGAACCAATGACATAACCCAAACTACCCCTTCCAGCTCCTGCTCCTTCCTGTTGAATCCCCAAATGTGGCAGTTCTCTCTTTGATGGCTGCAGTGACAGAAGCTGAATCAGAGCACTGTATTCCCGGTGCTGTATCCTCACTGATGCTGCGCCCTCTAACTAAAAGATCTCTAATCATGCGCCGATTTGGAAGATAAGAGAAAAGGGATGCGCGCTCGCGTGGATCTGCCTGCGTTTCCCTGCTCGCCCTTGACTTGAGTGCGCGCGAGCATCAAGCTTAAATGTCACGGAAAACAATAGACTTTAGATTTCCAACAAAATCTAACATTGAAAGCAACTGGTTCGTCTTTACGCGCTGCACATCCAATGCAGCTGCAGCTCATCCATCTGCATGCGCTCATCCATTCAGCATCTGAAAATCTGCCATGTTTAGCACGTGTATCTGTCTGCTATAGTAACCTTTGAGCAATGTTTTATGGGACATGTGAAATATTCAGTTTAGGAATTTAAAAAGCAAAAGCATCATATCTGTGGTATTTCTGAGTCTCGGTCATTGGTCAGTTAGATTTTTCTCCACCATGGTTCACACAGCCTGAGAGGGAGCTGTCCCTCTATCATGGTGCTGAAATTAAAATCCGCCGTCTTCCATCTGCCGCTCGGCTGCAGAAGCCATGGGTGTTGTGGATAATGGCTCAAGAATCTGAGCTACTAAACTGCTGAATATAATCCTCTCCCAGTGTACGCAACAGATATCTCATTAAAATATGCATTTGTGTCATACAGAGGAAGTTCCAAGGCGAAAGCAACATTTGTAGTTCAACGTGGACCTTCTATCTATCTATCTATCTATCTATCTCTAAATTAAGGTGTATGAATATTCTAGGATGATTGCTCCTCTGAACAAAGGTTACTACGGACATATTAAGTCTTTCATATCAGTGCCTTTAAACTCGACAGTGGGCGAGCTTAAAAATAGACGTCTGTCATGTTAGTGATAAACCAGTGTTGGTGGTAAAAGCATAAATAGAGGTTGCTGGTCACTCTTCAGAAAAAAAAAAGGAATCGCATCTTTCACCTGTGAAAGTGAGAAACGCCACAAACATTATTCACCCAATGAAAGAAAAGCTCTCCATGTGATGGAGTGACATCACCTTGGGAAGACAAATTAAACTGCTGATTTTATGTTTTGGCCCTGTCAGAGGCTTTAACATGATAAATCCTCCCCTTGTGTTTCCAAGATTGCAGTTGTTTTGTTGGCAACAGACGCAGAGTGATTCATCGTAATAACCCGAGAGACGTATTCCTCTTATTCAACGCTTCTTAGGCCCTCTGTAGGTTTGGGGTGTCATTGGTTATGAAGTTCAATCCCCCCAAAAATGGGCAAATGACGTCAAAACAGACTGAATCAGTGGGAAACTCTGGCTCAGTGTTTGTTTATTTATCTTTGCTGGAGTGACAACAGCTGTATCCCCAGTGTCTCCCCATTAGTCCTTCTGAGCAGTGGGAATTAGCCTTGGAGCAGGTGCAGCGCAGGGACCGAAGAGGGACTTCCTGCTGCTCACACAACGCCAGTCTGCAGCTGATAATCTTGCTTCTATAGACATCTGTTTTATGTCGAATTTCTCCAGCCATTGTTGTCTGACTTATCTATTGAAAATCATTCCGAGCAGCCGTGTCAGAAAATTAATGAACTTGTCAGCTGGAAAAGGGCACCACTGCAATGAGGTGCCAGGGTCTTGCAAAGCGACAGACTGTAAACCCATGTTCGCTTCACACACTCCCTTTGTCATTTCTTCCCTCCTCAGCCTGTGACTCAGTTCAGATCAGGGCTAACACTTTGTGCCATATAATAAAATGTTAATTTCTCAGATCGGATTAATCTCTGTAAAGCCCAGCTTAGGACACCATTAGCATTCATTTCTTTCACTGCCAGGGACTTGTATCAATAATGGAGCTACCCCTACATTTTTCTTCTTCTCTGGGTATAAAATCTCTCAGGAGGTTTCATTCAATGAGAAAGGGACTGGCTACAGTGATCTGTTATCTACTCCCTCGCCTTTTGTGTTGGAGACCAGCTGTGCGACGCGAGGGGTCTGAAGGAGCTGGAGGCCATAACGCTGGAGGTGAAAGAAACCTTTATATGGAGTTGAGGTTGTACATGAACACATAATGGATCACACATGCAGAATTCAATTTACAGAATGTTGACATTAATTATGATAAGTATTATAAAATTGCTCATGAATCCACGTTTAAATATTGAGTGTGTTGCATCTGACTGCCAACAGTAGCCTCCAGATCATATGTCTTACTGTAATTAGCAAAGGTTAATGCACACATGAATGTGTCATTACTCAGACATTATTTCCCCATGTATGACTATCTGCTGATCAGAGGAGGTTTAAGCACCCTGGAAAATGTGTCACATCCACTTAAATGGGGCGGCACAGTGGTTCAGTGGCTAGTACTGTTGGCTTACATCAAGAAAGTTCTTGGTTTGAGGTTGGGTTTGAGCCCTGTGTCTGTTCAAAGACAAGCAGATGTGCAGATTGTACAGAGTGAGTGTGAATGGATCCACTTAACTGGCAAAGTTCACTGAGTTTTATTCAACAACATTATCTATATTTCACCCATTAGATGAACACCCACTGAGATAATCTCAATGATGTTGGGTTTCAAAGTGTTTGGACGATGAGGTCAGGGAGGAAGCAGCAGCGATGCAAGTTGGAGCTCCTGCAAAGTGCATCAAGGCTGATGAGTGCTACTTTTATACATGAGACGAGTCATGTGGTGATTAATCATGCATTGTGGCAGAGGTAGTCAGCAAGAGATTCACCTTAAACGCATTGATGCTTGGATGATTTCATGAGCCAACAGTGAGTGAGAGATCTTTACTATAAAGGCCACAAGCTGTAGCAAGTCTGCAACATAAGGCAGCCATTATGTATTTCATAAAAAAAAAAAAAACCCTCATCTTCTTTTTTAAATTGACCTGCATCGTTGTCTGATTGGTTGGCTGAAAAAAAATGCAGCCATTTGTCACTGCAGGCTCACTGTCACTGACACATCCCCACATTGTCTTTATCTGAACCTGAGACTGCATGTTGCTGCATGCTTAATGTAATGTACTCTATCAACCAGACTCGAGCCAGTGTTTTGGGCACGGCGCACATATTCGGACAGACATGAGTGGTATCTGCAGTAGCCTCACTCATTAGTCAGCCTCTCCAACGTGTCCGTCTGAATGTTTTGTCCAAGAAAAGAACAGCTGAGCAGGGGGACAGCTGCAGAACATTCCACCAGTCGATGGATTAATCAATCGGTATTACTGCTCAGCCCATCCATCTCAGGGAATAATTTGAGGGACATCATAAACGTGCCATTCTGTCATTCTAGAGGCCAGGGAGCATTGCTTCTTTGTCCCTGTCTCACTCTCTCTCCACTGCCACTCTTATCATGGGAACAGGAGTGGATTAAATAGAATATTTGCAGCGTAGGAACATTGGGAGGTGTTTGCTAGTGTTTTTATTTTTTCTGCTATTTTGAAACAAACCAGGTTTGAATATTTTTGTGGCTTTTTTTTCTTTGCAGCTGTGACTCAGGGCTAAAGGGGAATTCTTCCAACTCTGCCACTATCTCCCCGTTTCCTTGCTTTCCTCGTAAATTTCAGTGAGGAGCACTGACCTGAATTCGGAATGCATCATTACTCACCACTTGCTTCACATCACCCACCTTGCCAGTCGTGATGATGGTGTCTTTTTTGATGTGGTAACCCCCACCCCCCTCTCTGCTGCCACTCTCTCCCTTCTTGACCTCACTGGGATGTCACACAACACTAAAATAATTGTGGCAGCACCTGAGGTAGGACCGATGTGACGGTTCCATTAATAACAGCTTGCATGAGTACAGTGCAAATACTCACAAACACTCGCCCACACACGCCCCCACACACGCCATCAGAAATTATACATATGCACTACAGAGGAGTCATTCTTTCTGCCTACAGGGCCCCTGGGTAACATCTGTCTGAAGTGATACTGGCCCTGGCCACCACATTATTCCTGCTGCTAAATTAAAAGTTTAAATGGGTCTGGAAAGGGTAGTGGGCTATCTCTTACTGCCCCTCTTTATTTTCTCCACACTGTGCATTATGGAGGTAAGATATTTAAGTCCGGAGGCAGGGAGGGAAAGAAAACCTCTCTCTCAAGTGCTGTCTTCTCAATCATTTGTTGTTGACAGTGGAATTTAATTTAGCTCAGTGAGCTGGTGCACTCAAAGTTAAAACATTTGAACTGGAAAGATGCCCTTCAAGATGGCTTTTAGTGGTCGCATAGCAACAGAACCATGACTTCACACTCATTGGCAGCTTATGAGCTGCTACCCAAAATATAGGTTGTCGATGGACCTTCAGTAACAAAACCAGTAAGAATCTGAAATTAATGCTCCAAGCTACTAAAAACAGTTTTCACACCACAAGCCTGATATGTGGCTCTTACCTACATCTGTTTATGTGAATTAGTAACTATTCCTGTCTGAGGTAGTGAAGATAAACAAAATCTGTTTCATAGTAGTCTTTAGCCAGTGGATGTTCATTCAAGAGGATGCACTGCTTACATTTTTACATGTTGTCTTGGGAATGAAAGGAAATGCCCTGTAGCTGTAATGAATATTTGACCTGTTGAGGGGCTTCTCCCTTTGGAGAAGATTTTGTACCTCACTCTCCAACAAAGCAAAAATAGCATTTCACCAGGATCCACTTAATTTTCTGTACAGTTTCCTTGGGTGAAAAACATCGAAATGCGGGAAACGTGGAAGTAGGTTGGACTGAAGGGCAAAAAAACTGTGGCAACCTTGCTGCTGTTGCAAAGGGCTTGAATCAAAATTGGGCAAAAAAATTAGACGAACACATCACAAAGCTCTTCTATTGAAAAGCAATGCATTCAGTCGACATCTTC